ACAGATTTGAGATGACTTTGTGACACTGAACAGGAAAACAGCTCGTTCAGAGGCAGATGTTGGAGCCCACACTTCAGGAAACACTGGTACCAAAACACAACAGGAAGGAAAACAAACCTCAGGCTGCCTGCACTGTCACTGTCCCTGAGATTAAAGTCACATGAGAAGGTACCTGGAAGTATTTGGAACCATAAAAGAAAGCATTTTATGAGACAAGATGGGTAAAGCACCAAGCAGCTGGGCACTGTGCAAAGCAGGGGAATAAAAATGTTACTCAGTGTCTCCTGAGGAAGGCAATGCATGGGCAGAGCAATGCACTTCCTGCTCTGTGGCACTGTGGCATTTTAACAAATAGAACTCACTTCCAGGTGAATCCATGGATGCCAAATATCCCGGCACAGATTTGAGGTGACTTTGTGACACTGAACAGGAAAACAGCTCATCCTGAGGCAGATGTTGGAGCCCACACTTCAGGAAACACTGGTACCAAAACACAACAGGAAGGAAAACAAACCTCAGGCTGCCTGCACTGTCACTGTCCCTGAGATTACAGTCAGATGAGAAGATACCTGGAAGTATTTTGAACCATAAAAGAAAGCATTTTATGAGACAAGACAGGTAAAGGACCAAGGAGCTGGGCACTGAGCAAAGCAGGGGAATAAAAATGTTACTTTTGCACTGGGGAATGTTCTTAACATTTCCTGTTAGAAGAAACTTGAAAGTGTTTCTTAGTATCCATGGGTTAATCCCGTGTTTTGATACCAGGCAGAACATTTGCATTAGAAAAGTGGCACATTTCCTTAATGCACCAAAATTCACAGGGAAAGGGGAGGGCAGAGGAGAGCAGAGCAAACACAGACTCCAGGCAACAAGATTCCAGTCATTTAGGAAGCTGAGTGTAAGAGCAGAAAATCTGAGACTCATTAAGAATATTTGCTTTAAAATAGTCCTTGTGTCCATTAGTGGCTCCAGATGAACTGCTGGTTTGGAGGTTTAGGGTTCTGTCCCACACAAAAAAAAAAAAAAACCCATACAGGATTGATCTGATTGACTTATAAGTGTCAATGTTCTGTATTTCACTCAATTTTACCCTCGAGGAACAGATCATTTGTTGTGTGATTGGTTATGTCAACATAGCCCTGAGAAACCATTATCCATTTACCACAATTAGCAGGGACAGATCATCAAATCCCAGAATGGTTTGGGTTGGGAGGGACTTTAAAGCTCATCCCAATTCCACGCCCTGCCATGGGCAGGGACATTTTCCACCATCCCAGGTTGATCCTGGCCTTGGACATTTCCAGGCATCTAGGGGCAGCCACAGCTTCTCTGGGAATTCTGTGCCAAGGCCTCACCACCCTCCCAGCAAAGAATTCTTTCCTAAAATCCAACCTAAACCTGCCCTCTTTCATCCCACATGGATTAGTCAGACCTCTAAACTGGTAACAGGCACCAATTAACAAACAGCAATGACTGCAGAGAAAAGGGATTTCAATTTGCACTTCAAACCTGGCCCTGCAAGTGCTGCAATAACATCAATTTACCTGGTGGGCCAGGCCTCCTACACCAGGGCAGCGACGAGCTGCACATTGTTCTGCCTTTATCCTTCCTAAAGAAACCCCAAAACCTCAAACTGGCTTTGCACCTCTCCTCAGGCAGCATCCACCACCAGGATTTGCATGTGCTGAGCTGCAAAAGCAAAACTCAAGCACGACAAGCCCCAGTGAGCAGCACTTTCAGGTGTTCCCTGACAAGAAAACTCTGCTTATTTTGCTTGTTGGGGGTTTTGCTCACTAAGAGTAACACCAAATATTCCACCCTGACTTAAAATCCCAGTTAGGAGCTGCTTCAAAATGTTCACAGTCTGCTCCTTCTCACAAAAATAAAGGTATTTAGCACAGATTGGAGGAAAAATCTCTGGTGATGAGACAGGAGCCAATGACCATGAGCTCCCTTCCAGTTCACTGCTCCTGTGGGGTCTCCAAAGCAGAAGAATTGTCTCTGGAGCAGGAAGCAATTCACAAAGGGCCGCCGTGATCTTGGCATCAAACAGGTAACAGCTGTGGGGAGCTGCAGTTCCCAGCCTGGTGAAAACATTACTGTGGGCAGCAGGAGAAATGCCCTGGGAAAACAGGCAAGGCAACTGGGAGAGGTGACAGGAGTCAAAAAGCAAGGAGAAATAATCAGGCAACAGAGACCGGAAGGGAAAAACAACAAATAAACATAAAATATACACAGCCAGAAGGGGAGAGACACTAAAAATTTAAGCTGAAGGTGTCGTGGCATTTCCAGAATTAATAGCTGTGGGAAGCAGGCTCAGGAAGGGCTCTGGCTCCCCATAAGCAAACAAAACTTGGGAATGCATCAACAACATCAACTCATTAGCTAAACAGTCCCAGAGATGCACAAATATTCAAGGGAAGATGATAAAGATGAAGATGATGATGATGATATCTTTCCCAGGCCATCTGAACAGCACACAAACAAACCTCCAATTTTGCCATTGAGACCCAGCCTAAGTGAAGGCAATTCAACAATCATGTTTTACTTGTTCCCAGCATTTGCTGCTTTTGCTCTGACTTGACAACTGCCAAAATCCATCCTCACGTGTAAACAAACACGAGAGCTAACAGTCCCCACTTGAAAAATCAGAGGATTCCAGAAAACTGCTCTGGACTTCCCTTTTGCAACACAACATCAAGAAGTTCAAGAACTGTCTGTACCACAGCTGAGCTGCCGGAAAAATCTGCTCAATGAAGGCAGGCAATTATCCCAGCTCCAGAATCCCTGAACGCCCAGCTGAACCCATGCAAAGTTCCATTTCTGGAAGGACAAATGGAAAAGCAGAGGCATCCCAAAGGCCTGAGTGGGCACAGATAACACTGCATGATAACAACTGGGATCTCAGATGGTAAGTGAAGTTAAGGGATTTGTCAGGGGGAGATGAATCTCTCTCCCCATCACCACATAATCAGACTGTGGTTCATTTCTGCTGCTATTTCTGCATAGAAACGAGTTTAAGATTACTCAGTACTTGATAAAAGCCGCCAACCCACGTTCCAAGATGTTACTATCTCGGATATCAGAGATTTCTCCATGAGAACAGAAATATCTCAGATAATCACCTGCATGTGACACTCCTCTCAGGAAACAAAGTTACTTAATCTTCTTCACACACATGTGAGGCTGGCAGCACAAGAAACCCAGGCACTTTCAAGTTATCATATCACGGTATCAACGCACGCGGTCTATCAGACTCACATAAAAGCAACAAGAGGTCAGAAAGTGGTCAGTGCTTGGATTTTAACACACACACAGCAACAGAACAGCTTATCTAAAGTGCTTCTCAGCATCTCTGTGAATCCTTAATGCCATTTGAACCATTTCCAGCCCCTTCAGGCTCCAAGTTGTTTGGGTTTGGACCAGCATAACAGGGCATTAGCCTGTCAGCATTAAGGTATTATCACCACACAGGTAAAATTTTTGGTAAAGACCCCGATGTTTTTTGAGCAGGAAGGGACATCGTGTGGGAAAAAATAATAACATGGACCTCAACTTTAGTAAATAACTCACAGGAGCGCAATACCAGCCACGCTAGGAAGCCCAGAGCCAGGGCAGCCTCGTCCCTGCTGTCCTCAGCAGCTCACAAGGCAGAACCCCAGCAAGAACCACAGGGAGCACAACTCAGAGTGGGAGAAATGGGGCTGCACTGGCCAGGGTGGATGTGACGGTCCCTGAAACGCTGGGGATCCACAGGCGGGACAAGAAGGTCTCAGGATCCTTGCTGGATGCAGGAGGGAGGACAGGCAGGAAAGCTGGAGCCTGTCAGCAGCACCTGGGCACCACCATGAGGGTCCCCAGGCTTGTGGGGACCCCTCCATAGTGTCCCTCATTCTGTGAGACCCCCACAGTGCCCCTCATGCTGTGAGGGACTCTCACAGCCCATCAGCCCTGAGGGGCTATCCCAGCCTTGCAGGGGCCCCCCTTGCAGTGTGACATCCCCACGATGCTTCTCATGCTGTGAGCTGAGGGACTCTCCTCACAGCCTCACCAGCCCTAAAGGAACCCCCAGCCCTGAGGGAGCTCCCACACTGTGCCCCCAGCCCTGAGGGACCCCCTCACAAACTCCCAGCCCTGAGGGACCCCCTCACAAACCCCCAGCCCTAAGGGACCCCCTCACAAACCTCCATCCCTGAGCGACCCCCTGACAAACCCTCAGCCCTGAGGGACCCCCTGATAAACCCCCATCCCTGAGGGACCCCCCTCACAAACCTCCATATTTGAGGGACTCCCCTCATAAACCCCCATCACCGAGGGACCCCCTCACAAACCTCCATCCCTGAGCGACGCCCCTCACAAATTCCTAGCCCTGAGAGACCCCCCTCACCGTGCCCCCAGCCCTGAGAGACCCCCCCCCTCACAAACCTCCATTCCTGAACGACCCCGTCACAAACCTCCATCCCTAAGGGACCCCCTCACAAACCTCCATCCCTGAGAGACCCCCCTCCATTCCTGAACGACCCCCTCACAAACCTCCATTCCTGAACGACCCCCTCACAAACTCCCATTCCTGAGGGACTCCCCTCACAAACCCCCCAGCTCTCAGGAACCTCTCCCCACCTTGCCCCCAGCACTGAAGGATCCTCGCTCGCAGCCCCCCCAGCCCTGAAGGATCCCCGCTCACAGCTCCCTCCACCGCTCAGGGATCCCCGATCACGGCTCACCCAGCCTTGAGGGACCTCTCTCGCAGTCCCCCCAGCCTTGAAGGACCCCCGCTCAGAGCTCCCCCGGCCCTCAGGGACCCCGCGCCCCCCTCCAGCCCCTCAGGGACGCCCCAGCCGAGCCCCCCCCCACACCGCCGCTCCAGGGGGCTTCCCCCGGACTGTACCATTCCCGCCTTCCCCGGCCCCACGGGCTGCCGCGGGGGGGTTCCGGGGGGGGTGTTACCGCTCTCCCACCTTCCTCCCCCTCTCCCCGCGCGTGGTACGGTCCGCTCCTACCTCTCGGCGCCCTCACTTCGCCCTCCCGGCGGAGCCGCGAGTGGCTGGGGGGGGAGCCATAGCCGCTGCCTCGTCTTCCCGCTCCGTCCGCCCTCCCCTGCTCCCCCCCCCCACGGGCCGGACACAGTTGGTTTATTCCGAGAAGCCGGCCGGTCTTCTCCCCTTAAACCGCTGGGTCTCGCACGTCTTCGGCCATTTCCGACCGAACCGGCGGAAGTTGCCGAAGTGGCGGCGGAACTTAACGAAGAGAGGCGGCGATAGGCGAAGCGGGGGCGGAGATAGGCGAAGCGGGGGCGGAGATACCCGAAGGGTTGAGGGCGGGGAGCAGCGAGACACTCGTCTCCGGAACCTGCCGGGAACAGCCGAAGCTTCCCTCAGCTCGGCTCTCGCCACTGCGCACGCGCGCTGAGCCCGGGAGCGTTTTCCCGCCGAAAAGGCGGGCGCGCCCCCCCCGTCCCTCACACCCTCCGCTCCCCTCATGGAGGAGCCGCCATGTTGGCAGGGGGCGATGCTGCCTCCAAGGGTCAGCCGCAGCCCGGCCCTGTGGGCAAGCAGCTCTGTGTGTCCCCTAAAACCTTGTCAGAGTGTCCCCCTGGAGATCAGACAGTCCATGCAGTGCTTTGTATCCCCCAAGAACTCCGTAAGGATGCTGCCATGGAGCTCCATCATGCCTCAGCCCTATAGTGATGTGGACACAATAGTTGCCACTGGACCGCTGAGAGACGTCCAGGTGTCTCCTGGTAAAAGGGGTTAGGAAAACAACTGTGTTGTGGGAAACTGATCAGCAGATACTAAAATATCACTATGGTTTGGAGTTTGTTACAAAATAACATCCAGATCCACGCTGGAGGGTTGGCGTGAATAGCATCAGTGGTTAAATGTTGTGAAGTCAGAGGAGCTGTGTAGAAAGAAGCAAGTACCAAACATAGCATGCAACAGATGGTAACTGAAGCAAAAGAGGGGGAAAAAGGCAATGAAGAAATAAAGGAAGGGGGGAAAGGCAAGTAACACTGCCAGCGTCTTCTCACAACCAAACCACGTCGCACAGGTCCAGTCCTCTGTTCGTGCATTCTAATTTTATGTATTAGGAGTTCCATGAAAGGCATTTGTATCTATGGCAATCAAATCCCACACCAAAACACACAATATGACAACTTTGGGGGAATTAGAGAGTTTTTCACAGGAAGAAATGGGGGTTTATCCAGGAGTAAAGAGGGTGGTGTGTTTCTGGCCAAAAAGCTCCAAGAATCTCAGTTTTAATAAAACATGAGCACTTCAAAGCGGCGAAAAACCACTTTCCCATCACTCTGCACTTTTTAACAGTCATTTACACATGTGTAAAGAATGCAAGGAGAAACTAACTTTTATTCTGAGATGAAAAACCAACGAGGGGTGAGGCGGGGGCACAGATCTGCCCTTTGATAAACAATAAAAAAATCCAATCTCGCCACAGGGAACGCGCTGTACCGAAGGGCAGGAATAGGTACTGCAGGTTCAAAGGAGAAACAATACTTTTTATATTTTATCAGGACAAAAATTTAAAAAAGACTATGACTGTGGCACAGTAGAAAGGCTAAATTAACATTCAAATCACTGAACACACCCACGTTGTCCTACCACACACATCTGTTCCCACCGTGCCACGGCTCAGGGGTTTTGTATTCCACCCTGATCTACTTGGAGCTCTGCAGGAAGAAACAGGGGGACAATCATTCCCTTATTCCCTTCAGGTCCTCACTGAGGAAGAAATACCAGTGGAGAATCACTTCAGGGATAACTCAGGAGAACAATTCTTCTCCCATCTCCCAAAAGAAAAGCTGTCAGGATCAGTAGTCAGTGTGGCAGGTCTCCCTTTCAGGAAGCACTATCAAGGCTATTACAGATTATACTGACAGAGACACCTTCAGATTTAATCCCCTTTCTCTGTGTGTTTCCCCTTCTTCCTCTTACAGGAATTGGTTTTTAAGAGGAGTTTTTAGCTTCCCTTCTACCAAGTGAAAAATCCACTGCTCCTCTGCCTTCTGCTTATCCCAAAAGAAAAATTACTGTATTCAAATACCCTCATTTCCCACCTTTCCTGCCATCTGGGCTTTTATTTCTCATATAGATGTAAAATTTCCACATCAGAAATGGATCCTTAAGGGCAGGGTCTATAATCTATGATTAATAATTATTTAAATAAGAAAATAAGTTGCCAGTAAAGTTGCTGGACACTTTCCTGGCAAGGAAAAGCCTTTCACTCCTATCAGCTTCCAAACCTGTTTTCCCAAAGGTACAGACTCAATTCACACTGCCAATCCTGTTAGAGACTTGGAAACTCCATTGTGACCTTGAGTTGAAGCTGACAGGGTGGAGGACTGAAAACACTAATCCTAGGAAACATGCAAATGTAAAGCAAAGCCACCTAAAAAGCAGCCACAGTTTAGATCTTGGCCTTCTGTTCAACTTTTAGGAATAAATTCTTCCCTGTGAGGGTGGTGAGGCCCTGGAATAGAATTCCCAGAGAAGCTGTGGCTGCCCCATCCCTAGAAATGTCCAAGTTGGAGATGGAGCTTGGAGCAACCTGAGATGGTGGAAGCTGTCCCTGCCCATGGCAGGGGGTGGCACTGGAGGAGCTTAAAGGTCCCCTCCAACCCAAACCAGAGTGGGATTCTGCTGACAGAACTTCTTTAGACACCTCTGTATCATTTCAGGCTGTGAATCTCCCTTATATTTATTGCCTTTCAAGTTACTCTGCACTTGGCAGCTGCAGCTGAACACAGTGAATGCCATCACACCTTTGTGTCCTCTCCTTGTAAATGGTCCCCACTTCCCCTCTTTTCCTTTCCCCCTCCACATTCCCTCTTCCTCACCCCACTTCCTCCTGAGCATGGCTTGAATCCCGGTGTCTCCAATCTGCTCTAAATTCCATTGAGTCACTGCAGGCAGGTATTCAGGAGTTTCAGAGCCAGCAAATGCACATTTCCATGGCACACTTCCATGGCCTGAAATAAACCCCAGAAAAACATGGAACAACGGTGGCAGGGAGGACCCTGAGCTTCCATCTTTTCCCCGCTGCAATCTTTTTGGTACATCTTTTTTCATCTCTCTCTCCTCATTTTCCACAGCAGACGGCACCAAGGTCGGACCATCTGCGGGTTTTACAAGTTCCATGGAATGTTTTCAGACCGCACTCTTAACCTCAGACACTCCTATCGGATTTCAGACGATTCAGCCACTTTTTAGCCCCAGGGTGCTGTAGGTGCTAAATAGATTATCTGCATCTCTCAGCCACTGCGGAGCAACTCCACAGCAAAGCTCAGTTTTTAATCCTGCTGAGACTCCCGACTGCTTTTGGCCATCAGGTATCCCAGGGCTTCACGAGAGGAAATGTTAATCTGGAATGCTGGCCAAACTCCAGTTTAGGTAATTATATTCTGACAATTTACATTTTCCCTGCAGTTTTTTAATGGATATGGAATTTTTTTTCTTCTTCTCTTGCTTTATGACAAAAAAGCAGTGGCCTGGTCGTGCTCCTGCTGTTGGAGCAGCTGCCAGGCTTTGCAGCTTGAGTAGCTGCATTTCAGTGGTAGGTAAAGGCATCTCAGTACAGTTAAATAAAGCCCTTTGAAGACCCCATGGGCACGAGGAGTATTGTGAAATGCACCCCACTGCCGGCCATAAAGCATGGCAAGGGCTGAACATGAAATGAAACAGCCAGGAGCAGGATCTCCTGGCAGGAGCAGGAAAGGAAAAGTCAGCACAGGAACGGACACACAGACCCTTCCCTCCCCAATCCTAATTCTGCTTTGGGCCCAGCGCAGCCCCAGCTGGGATCCAAAGAGCAAACACAATGAACTGGCAGCATCCTGCACAGAGGAACCAGCTCCTGACAGCAAAAGAAAATAAGCTTATAAAAGTAGTGGAAGCTTTTGGCAAGATGCTGGAGGACACTGCCTGGTGCTTAAATGGGATGAGGAAAAGAAATGCCTGTTCCCTTTTTAATGAGGGCACAGTAACTGGATTTATCTCACCTGGCTTTGTAAAAGAAGAATCATTGGGCAAGAAATGGAGTAGAAGCTTTTGTTTGGGTGGAATATTATGGATCACACTCTCAGTATGTTGAATTGTACTGCCACATGCTTGATTAGGGACAAACATTCTAGATAAATTAATTAAATGATTGTATTATCACAGAATCACATAGTGGTATGGGTTGGAAGGGACCTTAAAAATCTTGTTCTGACCCCATTGCCACAATGCCTTTTTTATAAAACCATTCATAACCACTCTGAGTTCTTTTCTTCACAAGCAGCTTTCTAAAAGGCTCATTTTCCTATTTCAGCAACAATTCTTTAAGTTCTGAGAGATTAAGACAGTGGTGACAAATAAACCATGAGATTCTGGATGGATACAGACACATGTAGCTTTCCCTCCTTCCCAGATCACTGTCAGCCAAAGGCTGTTACCAGTACTAGGTGAGTATTTTTCCCAAGTAGTTTGTTGATTAAAATATGTTTTTCCCCATCCCCAAAATGACCAAAAATTAATTTCAGTGTGATGGATCACTCCTGGTTTGGGGGAGCTGGACATGGTGGGAGAGGGTAAAGGTAGAGCAGATTTCCCTCCCCTTGCTCTGTAACAGCTCACAGTAATTCTACACCAATCCAGCATCAAAAGAAATTATCTAAAACATATCTAAATAGAACTTACTTACAGAAATAATTCTTAAAATCCCATTAAGAAACTTCCATCTTGCAATACTCCTGGAAATTGCATGGACTCTTAGGGAAGATGGAATCCAGAGCAGGAAGCAGCAGCCCAGCCTGGTGACAGCCAAACAAAACTCCACCTGGACCTTGGCAATAGCTGAGCAATGGCACAAAATGCCAGCACTGCCTCTCTCCTCAAGGCTCCTTCCCCCTCCAAACCCTGCTGCACTCAGGAAGCAGCTGCATTTCTGGAAAATTCCCTTGAATTCCTGGAGTATTACAGCTAACCATGCTTCCCCTTCATCTCAGCACAGATGCTTTGAAGTTTTCCAGAGATACCCAAGGAAGAAGAACATCCAAATACCTACACTAGCCCCAACCTCCACCCTGGAACAGATGGTGGGGTTCTAAATACAGGCACATCTGGTAACCACTGGTATGAAAGAGCTGCCAGGCATCAGCTTATTCTGCTCTACTAAATATTCCATCATTTGAACTGTGTTTAAGCAGAAGTTAAAAAGAAACAATCATTTTGCTTATCTATAACACAATCCCCAAACACCTACACATTGTAACTGTGGCATAGCTCAGGCATTACACTCTTCTCTACCAAAAGCACT